TTTGAGTATTTCATAACATTAGTTTGACTGTCAATACTAGTTACCAGCCCATCAAGATTAGTCTCACCTGCTCACTAGCTTTTCATTTGCCTCTTTGAGTATTTCATTTTCAGCTTTGAGATCAGAAATCAGTTGAACTTGCTGARAAAAAAAACAATATGTAGAAAGATTAGATATGGTTTGAACAAAGCATTGGTTATCAGACTGCATTTGTGAACAATWTTGTTCTTGCATTTGTCTGTCTGTCTGCAAAATAACAATTACTAGTTAAAAAATGTTGAATAAGCACTTACTTCTGCAATGGATTTAGAAGCAACTCCAGACGTCTTGATGTCATTTGACAGCATTAGATTTTTAGTCTGTTCCTATTGAATCAATCAATCAATCAATTAATCAACCATTCAATCAATCAGTCTTCCCATCCATCCATCCGTCAATCAGGCTAGCAGTCAATCAATCTAGCAAGCAATTACCCAGTCAGTCAACACCAGGGTACATTTCATCTTGTAACCCAGCAACCTTACCAGGCCCCCCCTATCAGTAATAATTGACTCACCTCTTTCAGTTTTGTGTTGAGTTTATCCATTTCCTCTAAAAGCTGRGAATGACTCTGCTTTACTTTTGACAAATTCTACAATGAAAATTCATACAGCTGTAGTTTTTTGTATTTTTGACAACAAGCAGATGTACTCAATGAACTCACTTCATCCAAGGTAGTGTATTTGGCTTGCAAAGCTTGCAGCTTTGTAGACTTGTCTTTGAMATCACGTTGGAGTTTGATCATATCAACATTTTCTTGAAGATTAGCTCTACAAAAGAACATTATATTAAAAGTTTAATTACTAAAGACAAAGCATTAACAATACATGAATGAAGTCATTTTATGGCGGAATAATGTAAGCAAGCTTAGAACAAAAACAGGGGCTTGTTGTATGAAAGATGATTGAATAGACAGTGCTATCAACCAGATAATTAAAACATACCTTTGCACTCCTGTTAACTGATCCCTTGCAAGCCTCAGTTCTTCCTCATGTTCCTGTTCTTTCTCTTCTATCTGTACAATATAACATTGCATTTCCATTTACAATCAATACGGTCTGATGGTAAGCAGTGGAAATGAGCTAATTTATTCATTAAGGACTCGGACAACAATTATAACTGATTAATAGTTTATTATTGATCAACATTCTAATTGAATAAAAGATATACTGTTTGATTGATAAATTGATGTCTGGTTTGATTGACTGTTTGATAGGTTGACAGCTGGTTTGATTGACTGTTTGATAGACTGACGTCTGATTTGATTGACTGTTTGATAGATTGACATCTGATTTGATTGACTGTTTTATTGATAGACTGATGTTGATTGATTGACTACTTTGAATGACAGGTTGATGTTGATTGAGTGACAAGAGCTGGGATAATAACTCAAAGAACTCACCAATAGCTGAAGCTGTCTTTTGTCTTCTTCAAGAAGCTGCAGTTCATCTTGAAGCTGTGCAATGAAGTCTTCCCTGTTGAAAATCGAATTCAAGAAATATCCATGAATCAACTTACTGAAAACACATSAACTGATTAAAGCAGAAAATAATTCTGTATTTTAGTCTCCAACTATRCAACAAAATCACTAACAAAATTAATATCAATTGYACTCACAGTTCTCGTTTCTCAAGCCTTGCTTCCTCAAGTAAGCTGTGACCATATCTTAAATAAAGAACAAAAATGTATTGCAATGTCAATAATAAAATAATTCAGAACAAAAAACAAGGTACATGTACATGTAATGAAGCTAGATCATTATTCTTACAGATCTTGCTCTTGGGCTTAGTACACCATTCACTTGCCCTGTTTTAAAATAAATTCTACACTGAACAACATACATGTACATGTAATATATACCTTGGTTGTGGCAGGACTGGTGTTGATACTGGTGTAACACGAGACCCTGGCCTATAAACATTAAATGTAAATTAAATGTATTAACCTATTAACAATAAAGAAATTAAAGTASATTGCAACTTTTCAACTTCAGTCTTCCTCAGGTGAATGATCAATTAAGATTGTCACACAAGGTTTTATTGTGTTGCAAATGGCAAAGAACACCTACACTGTRGAACAAAGTCCCAAGTGATAACCTAATACCACCTTTTTTGTTATACATGTAAGTGGATTCATTATTGGGATTTTTGCTTTAATTATGTACTGTACTTTACAGTGCCTTGTCATTACTAAATATTATTATTAAAATAATAATGTTAACAACATCTATCACAAACCTTATGTCATRACCTTGTACTCTAAGATTCTTCTTTAATCTGTTTCCTGATGGAGATCTGCCATGAATTCCCTTTACATTGATAAACAATTAAATCAACCATCTTAATGAATAAATCCTATAATTTTGATGTACTTACAGTGTTGATTCTAGGTTTGACATGGTCATAGGGGGTTGAACGTTTTCCCTGGGTTTGTAACTGCTGCTTAGCAATGGATAGCTGTACAAATTAAATTGATAAAATAAAGACTAATAAATATTGTCATCATCGATCATCATCATCATCAGATAGCAGTAGACTTGCCTTGCTTTTAAGATTTGCATTTTGTTTTTCTAATTCCATTATCTTTTCATTTAGGTCAGCCATCTTTTCTTGCAATTCAACGTCTTTCCCACTTGAGCCTGCAAATACATAATGACAATACCAATTACAATAAATCATTCTTCGTTATACTCAAGGAATAAATTTAAAATTCTGTGTTTGATAATACAAAATATACAGGATATACATAAGAACACACAAAAAACACAACAAACAAACAAAAACATGATTCATATTGGAATGATTTCTACCTTCTTAATTGCTCTCTATACCAAGAGTTTTGAACAAAGTTTTACACTATAAATCCATACCTCCATGTATGTTTTCTCTTTTCTTTTTATCAGCCACCAGTCGAAGAAGCTTTGTGGCCATCCTTTGGTTTTAAGTAAATACAACATAATTAACATAATGATCCATTAGCATAAGTATATATGACAASTTTTAATTAAATAGATTTTTCTTAAATGATAAACTATTGGCCCCTCACAATAYCAGTCCCTAAACATTTGCCAAAACACCTGATCCTACAGTGTAAAACCCTCTATTCTAAACACTGTTATCCAAACCTAAAAACATGAAGCTGATCGTGATACAGCTGAGCAGCATATCAATAAACAAACATAAAACAACAACACTGATTACTTCTTAATTTTCTCTTCTTGTTTCCTTGCATACTTCTTCAGTTCCTATGGAAATAGTTAAATAWAGTCTGGTTTACTGAATACACATGGCTTGCATACCACATGGCTTTAACTGGTTATTTTTKCTCATAGCACTTGGTTGTTGTAGGTGTTATGGAGTCCTATATACTGCAGTCATCAATCCTGACCACACAAACTGAGATAGTAGCTTTAAACTTGTACAGTATGAAGGCTGGATGTTATCCATATCATATACATAGAGGATATTACATGGGCGCGCGGAGATACGGATTTTATCTTCGAGTGTTGAAAAGATCTCTCACGAGTGAGCGTAGCAAATGTGTTATTTTCACTAGTGAAAATAACATGTTATTTTCACTTTCCACACTTGGTACAACTAATATGGGATGTACACAAGGTATAGAATCAAGTTATTTCAGCTCATTGTGTGCATTATCAGTAAAGGTAAAATAGACCTGAAGAAAGATATGAATGCATTGGACACATACAGTGTTATCTTCTTGCAATCTTAAGAACTTATCCTCCAATTCCTCTCTGCTAATCTTAGAGATCAACTGTCTGKCATGGACTTCACTGAAYGGCTTTCCTTCTGAAACATTCACGATGTGTACATAAAGTTACGGCATTAAGGTTCGCATACTCTCAATGAACTAATAAAGTCTTACCTCCATCGTCAAACTGATCGGGAGAACCGAGATCCATTGTAAGCGACGATGGCATTCCAAACTAAAACCACATCTGTCGAGAATCTTGAGTTAGCATAACTGCCACTCACTAGCAACGAGTTACGGTGGTCAATGACAACAAGAACACCTCAGGAAAACACACCAAAGATTGGAGAATATAAAAACAAATAACTGCGTTCAGTCTTTAGAGAATATCTAAACCATTTTAAAGTATACGTGCGTCATATTTTAACAGAAACTCTAAGAAAACAGCTCTAAAAGTTAAGGATGTTAGAAATTTCCTTCACAAAACAGCCGCCATTTYTGAAGTCAAAAGTATTTGACGTTCTGAGCATGCGCATGTTGTCGGCCCTACTCTTTCTCGGTTTAGATAGAGACCTGGCTGCCTGGTCGATGCCTGGTCTTGCTAGTAGAAAGATGCAAGCGGCTGTGAGATTACGGTTTTTATGGACAGAAGTCGGCTCAAGGACGCAAGCAAACACACTGACAAGCATTCGGTCGTTTAGCTGCTMGAGACAGAAATACATGAAAGTGCTTATAGGTAACGAACGCAAAGCCATCTAGACCTTGCATTGTTACATAACAACACTAGATTGCGGTGAATCAAAGGTGATTTTCTTGTTTCTMTAGGAGGAGGAACTGGGTTTGTTGGGAAGAGACTGCAAAAGACACTCGAGTCGAAGGGACATGACGTGCAAATTATATCAAGAACAAGAGGTGTTGGAAGAATAACCTGGGTAAAGTCATGATACTCGTACCTAGACCCCGCTTATTCAAGAAATCATTCGGTCTTCAAGGCCTTATTTTGATGCTGGGATTGTTGTTGTTGCCTTGGATTTAGGGCGCTATCGGCTAGACTACAGAATCCAGGGCCAATTTTAAAGATATCTCTCGAGCACTGGCTCGGCAGCTCAGCAGTCAAATTAATAAATTATAAAGTCCCACTGCGGAGCCGGCGAGCTGCCGAGCCACTAAATAAAATACTGCCTGGACACATTATGAATTCATATCTCGTTCTTTATAAGTCCCACTGCCGAGCCGGCGATCCACCGAGCCACTAAATAAAATACTGCTAAACACATTATGAATACCGAAAAGTTGCCGTCAACAATAAAAACTGATTGAAAATCACTGCCGAGCTGACGAGTCACACAGATTAAAAGCCACTCTGATTTGGGCCCTGTATTCTGTAGTCGCTCCGTGCTATCTCTGTTCCATATTCTTAAGGGTTTAGTTATTCTGTAATATTGTTGGTTATCTAGCCTTACCCATCCTATGGGTTTCCTGTGGCACTGCAATGCACGCTAATGATGGTTGATGATAATGTGTTTAGGATGATGTTGCATCATCAGGACTGCCAGAGTGCCAAGCTGTTGTCAACCTTGCAGGGGAAAATATCTTAAATCCATTGAAAAGGTACAATGTCTTTACACAACTGACCCTTTGCCAAAATCCCTCAATTAGCATAATGCATGAGTCAATTGAATCCTCTGCAATCCCCCAGTCAGTCAAGAGAGAAGGGGTTCACKCTTCACTTGCTTTCTTGCTACCAGAGATTTTCCTGTCAAATTGTCCCTSGTAACTGAGACATTCACTATTATTCACTTGAGAAAAAAGTGATGCCTGTTAAGACCAGGAGGAGAGTCATACATAGAGTATCATTACCAAACTCTTTGGAGTTGTCATTGTTTTCACATCACATCAGTAGACATGTATTATTATTGAGGTGTTAAATATCAAGTGGTTGTTATTTCAGATGGAGCAACCAACTAAAAGAAGATCTCAGAAAAAGTAGGATTGATACGACTAGATTGCTGGCTGAAAAAATTGCTGCAGCACCCCACCCCCCTGAGGTGTTCGTTGGGTCTTCTGCCGTTGGTAAGTTAGTTTTTGATACAATTATAATAATATATGATTACAATATATTTTATGTAAATTTCAAGTGTTCTTTATTTTCTTGGCTGAGGGATGGGGTTAATTGCCAGGAAGGGGATGTTTATAAAGTGATTTTGTTTGGTACAGTAGTCTCTGTTTTTCAGGTTTTTATCCACCTGACAGTATAGGGATGGGGTTAATTGCCAGGAAGGGGATGTTTATAAAGTGATTTTGTTTGGTACAGTAGTCTCTGTTTTTCAGGTTTTTATCCACCTGACAGTATACTTGAGTACAGTGAGGATTTCCCGTCCAGTGATGGGGTTAATTGCCAGGAAGGGGATGTTTATATTTTGTTTGCTACAGTAGTCTCTGTTTTTCAGGTTTTTATCCACCTGACAGTATGCTTGAGTACAGTGAGGATTTCCCGTCCAGTGATTCAGATGTTCTATGTGAGTTATGTCGGGACTGGGAAGCTAGTGCCCAGCTCCCAGAGGGCTGTAGTACAAGACAGGTCGTTGTTCGTATTGGTGTTGTTTTGGGTAAAGAAGGAGGGATGATACAGCAAGCAATATGGCCGTTCTGGTTTGGTCTTGGAGGTATGTATAATAGACTACTGTATTCTGACATTCATGATAAAAACATTCCAGTCACACAACTGTTTATTCTATAAAGTACCTACAAACCCTTTTTTAACACTGAGAATATTAGTCAATTGAACATTGAATGATAGTAATGACACTGTTTTGGTTACTACCAATATTGTATCTAAAGTGCATGGTATTATCAGTGAATGATAGTAATGACACT